GATTGTTCTGTAAATAGTTTGAAATGTTTATTTAAAAATGCATTGGCTGCATTTAAAAAAATAGCTGCAAAAAACTTTGTTTGCTAAACTCAGTTACTTTTTGAGAAGTAACTATATAATTATTTGCCCAACATTGGTCATTATATCCTGTATTTTGCAGACAGAGAGTTACAGGCTCTCTCCCAGACCACAGACTCAGACTCATAATACAAGTCAGAGCTTTATAAAAAAAAAGAAAAAGAAAGTTGTGTTTTCGAAATTGGAGTTCAAGTCATTTGTACTTCCAATAGTGTTAATATACTACACAGGCCAATGGCTAGATTTTTTTTTTTACATTTTCATTGTAAATGGGCTGAAGCAGTTTAATCTGTAATAAAATCATCAGCGTTCTGCTCTACCAGGTGTAACAATTGAGTTTATCATCCAGGCAACCATGAAAATGAAACGGAATTTATGACATTTAACAGAGTTAGAAATTAGCAGGAAGTTAGCTCGCTAGCTTCCATCTAAATGAGGGATTTTGGAAACAAATTCAAACGTACAGCTCTGCTATCACTTCCAACATAAATGAAGACAGAAAACTAAACAGCAGTGACGTTTGTAGGGTTACTGAAGGTTGGCTAGCTGGTATATAACGATGTGCTACGTGACACAGCTATGTGAGCATAATATAAACAGGCTAACTTTTTTCCACTTGATAAAAGTTATCGTGAGGATTCTCGGTGGTCAGGAACAAATATAATCTCATGGCAGGTTGCTGTAAACGGACCAAACTTCAGCCAGGAGAACAACTGAGATAATTCATCCACAAGGATGAATAGGATTAGTCATTCATATACTGCTGCATGGGCTGGGCTGTAGCTACATCGTAAGGTTTTAAAAACTGAGCTTTCAAATGATTAGTGGTGATAAAAGCAGAGGGAGGCCAACTGTGATTACTGACTGCTTTTAGGAGCTTTTTGAGATTAAATAGAAGACAATACAGAACATTAAACATGTTAACAACACAAAACCCATATTAAACGCAGACTACTTTAAAGTAGTCTGCGTTTAATATGAGTTTTGTGTTGGCCCGGAAACAGGATTCGTCACGCCATCACTTAAAGACCAGATAGCCTATAAGTTTTATTTTCGATGCACTCTGAGGTCATAGCAAATTAGAAAAAAACGTTCTATTTATAGACTTGCTAATTGTGTGGCATTATTGCAGGCAAACCAACCTTATGAAATGGATGAAACATCGGGACTGGGTTCCAGCGCTACACAAGGGACCTGCTTCAAACATACCACCATGCCAATCAGATTACTTCTTCCATGTGAGGGTGAAGAGGTGACCCTCCTGGATAAGACGGTGAAGGTTTGCTGCCATTTTGGTGAACGGTGTGGTAGTAAAACCAGGGAAAAATGAAACTTTCTCCTGTTAAATTAAGTCTTGTGCTGTATAAATAGCAGTAATTTTTCAAAAGATAAATTGAAGTAATTGATAGTAAATAAAGTAGTGTTAGTAGTGGGTGATATCGTGTAAATGCTGTCATAATTTTATGTAAACATTTTGTCTTTTATAAACTAGAAATGACATGGATTCTACATTGTAAATGATGTGATGTTCTATAAAGTGGTTTTAATAAAAAAAGAGGCAAAAATTAGTTTGTTTTTTTATTGAACTTTTGAACAGTGGTACTCAGTCAGTACATATTCAGTAAATGCAAATTATTTACATGGCAGTGCACTTCAGGCATAAATCTAGACCCCTATATAAAACATTATGGGTCATTCCCACAACCCACAGGTTTACTGTGTTCCAGCAAAGTATCCAATAGCAGTGACAACTCCTCCACAGTAGCAGGTGGTATTCTTCGTTTTTGGGGACGGCTCCTTTTACCTTTCAATATGGATGGTCTGTTTATGTTTTGATCAAGAGCCTTTTTCTGAAGGTCATTAATCAATGTATTATAATAAAAAAAATATATATATTTTTTGTGACACAGGACACAAACATGGAAGCAAGATATATAATTAGGATTATTTCTAATCAATATGAATTCATTAGTGCAATTTCTTTAACCATTGAGAATAACTAAATCCTTCAGGACAATGTCACATCAGTGCACTGAACTCACTATGGCTACGTTCACACTGCAGGTCTTAATGCTCAATTCCGATTTTTATATTTAAATCTGATTTTTTGTGTCTGCTTGTTCACACTACAAATAAAATGTGACAGCAAACGCGCTCCTTTGTGAACCCTCAAAGCAGAGGCGGAGCCAGACATTTGAAACACCCGGGCTTAGCCCTAAAGGGTGCATGTGGGATTTTTTTTTTTTGGAGGGGGGGGTAGAAATGACTGAAAGATTAATTGGCTTTGTTTTGAGTTTTGTTCAAAAAAGAATGACTTCATATAGGGAAAAATATATATCACATATGCAGGACACCTTAAACTAGTTTTTTAATTAAGCAGCAAGGCAGAACAAGGTCAGGGCTGTATCAAGACACGAGGACTAAACCCCAATTCAACCAGACCCAGAACTGATCTGGAATTAAAACAGGACTACAACAGTTCAAAATCAGGACTACTGAGGACTTAACCAAGAAAGAACCAGAATTAGAACTAGATGATAATAGCACTAAAATCATCATAGACCTGCACTACACTTATTTTTTTAATTCTACCAAAGTTCACTATTTAGATTGAGAAAAGTTTATATAATTATTTAGCCTTGTTGTGCAAAAAAGCCTGCAGAACTTAATAAATGTAGAATTTGAAAAATAATAAACCTAAAAAGAAACACTAGGTACAAGATACATGAGTACCTATGATACGGTGATACTTTTGGTAAACAACCATTTGACTAACATGTGTGTCTCACCTGCTCTTGTTCCATCTCTGTTCTGTCCTCATTCTCCATCTCCCTCTCTGTTCCTCTCTCTCCCTCTTTTTGCTGACAATCATCAAATATACAGTTGAAACCAGATATTTACGTACTCTTCAGATCAAAACACAAACACTTTTTTAATTGTAACATTAAATCAGACTAAATGTTTATTTATTTTTTTAGATTGATAAATATATTATTTATCAATAACATATTTGTACTTTAAGAGTAAAGAGAGAAACTGTCTGTATTTCTTAATTGTAAATGGCACCAAATTGTATTCAAAATTGAGCCACACTTATGGAGCTCCACAGTTCTTTTTCTGCTGTTTTGTTGACATCTCTTGATTTTCCCATTTCAAAGAAACAGGCTCTGTGTTTTGCCTTATATGCATCCACAGCTGTGCCACCAATTTACTCACATGGACTCTACTAACCTATCAGAAGCTTCTTCAGCTCAGAATGGAATCGTCTGGAGTTTTCTTATTAATTAACAATAAACTTAGTGTACATGTACTCCTAAATTTGATGAAAGTGATAAAAAATAGACAGCTAGCTCAGTCTCTCTTTATTCTGACATTTAACTAATTCAAAAGATATTTCAATATTTATTTATCCAAAACAAAACAAGTTTACTCTAAATTGATGTTGTACAGTAAAAAAATCTTCTTGTGTTTTCCATAAAGTGTATGTAAATATCTGTTTTAAACTGTGAATATACTGCTGTATTGAAATTCTTCTTGTTTTGCATAGAAATATACTGAACAACATACAAAGCATAATATATAAAATACTACCAGAGTTTTTTCTTTGAAAGAAGCCCCTCATGTCCATTCTTGTATATCAGTGCATTACTGAAACCGATTTATTTAGCCGTGGAGGGTAACAACTGAAAATATGAAAAAAATACACATGTAAGCTAAGACTCTCTAAAGAAACAGCATTGTTGTTGTTCGGCTTTTCATTTCGCCATTTGTTGATTCACTTGAAGACCAAGTAACGTAATATTGGTCAAGTGATCAGTTTGATATCAATTTTTCGTGATGCACCGTCATATTTACATTATTTGTACGGTACGAATGATTTTCTTTGGTACCTGCTCAAACTTAAGCTCTCCTTAGTAAGGCTGGCTCCGTCTCTCCAACAGGGCACTCACAGGCAGCAGCTGCCCCGCCCCCTCACTCAGTCGCTTAGTGCCTGAGCTCGGATCATACCAATATCAGGGGGGATTCCCGCACAGTCGTAAATTCCCACAGTGTGCACTATGTGCTTCGAATATTGTGTGTACTTTTTGTTTTATACAGTTGTCAGCCAGACATCTAACTATGAAAAAATTACACTCCAAAAGACCCCGGGCTTCTGACAAAACAACCCGGGCTTAAGCCCAGTAAGCCACCCCCACGCTCCGCCCCTGGTTATATTATGCACCCAGGCCGGACGGTGGCACGGTTAGCACTGTTGCATCAGCAAGAAGAGGAGTTCAATTCCACCATCAGGCGGGGGTCTTTCTGTGTGGAGTTTGCATGTTCTCCCCCGTGTTTGAATGGGTTCTCCCCAGGTACTCTGGCTTCCTCCCACAGTTCAAAGACATGCAGTTAGTGGGGATATGAAAAACTCTAAATTGCCCATAGGTGTGAATGCGTGAGTGAATGTGAGTGCAACTGGTTGTCTGTGTCAGCCCTGTGACATACTGGCAACCTGTCCAGGGTGTACACTGCCTCTCACCCTATGCCAGCTGGGATTATCTCCAGCACCCCCCGCGACCCTGAAAAGGATAAGTGGAAGCAGATGGATGGATGGATATTCTGTAGCCATGTGACCACCAGAGAACCCATATGGATGCGGGTGTGAAACAGTTTTCAAATTAACATCTGATTTTACAGTGTAAGCCTTTATTATGCAAACTTGAATCTCATGTAATGAAATGTGCTATATAATAAAATAAATATAAATAAAATTGTCCATGAACCATCAATGCATCATGAACTGTTCAAAAACACATAATTGGGGAAATATAATTCTGATAGGACTCTTGGGGGTTGCAGATCATTAATCAATAAAATATTACAATTACAAGTATTCTCTTAAACTGTTGGTGGAAAATATATGAATAATTAAATAATTGAAACCTGTTTCAGGAAGCACTTTATTTATCAGAATTTAATTTGTCCAAGTTATAACAAAATGGGAATGTCATACTTTATACAACAAAGTCCCCAATAATCCCAAACCAGAACACAAACTATGATTAACAGATCCTACAGAAAAATGTCAACAGAAGCCAAAAAAGACCTATCAGAGACATTTAAAAAAATGGTAAATGGTAAAAAAAAGTTATTTGAACCAAACTGTTACAATAAAGTAGATTAATATATATATATATATATATATATATATATATATATATATATATATATATATATATATATATCACTGTCATTTTAAATCAATTTAGGATAGACAGAAATATTGTAATTTGTAAAATAATAAATTTGATTAAAACAGAATATTTACACACCAAGGAGAGATTCAAACTGCTATGATGCACCCATATTAATTCAACAACATTTTTTTTTAACCAAGATTAACAAAGAGGAAAAACAGCTTTTTCTAAATATCATTTTCATGTCTTTAACTGATAGTTTCTACAGTGATGCACAAAACATTTGCTTAGCAATCTGGACAGATACATCAGTTCTCTTCAGATAGAAATAAATCCTCCACTGTATAAATAAAAAAACTATCAATTCTGACTACCTCATATTTAACCAGTCTCAGAAACCTATAGAGAGAACTGAATTATGTGCCCAAGTTAACTTTGAAAATGAGGATTAAAGATAATAATTAATTAGAAATATTCCTGGAGAGTAAACTTAAAAAGATTTAAATAATCTGAATTCTGTTTTTTATTTTAATTTTTATAGTACACTCAAATTATTTTCATGCAGTGGAGTTGATCATTTTCTGCTCTTCAATGGGCTCCTGTAAAAACAGAAAATGACCGAAAAAATATCGATTGAAAGTGTTTCAATACATTGCAGTCACTCAGCTTTTGCTTCATTACTTTGACACAGATTTCTTTTGATTTAGTTACACAAAATCACAAATGCTTTTTTCAAACTCCTGAATCTCAGACATTGCAATACCATACAAACAATTGTGAGAAATGCTGAGAAGATCATTGGAGCCTCTCTTCCATACATCACAGACACCTATCACACCCGATGCATCCGCAAAGCCACCAGAATTGTGGAGGAGCCCATGCTCCCCTCACACACACTCTTCACCCTGCTGCCTTCTGGCAAGAGGTACTGGAGCCCTCACTGCCAGACTGCGAAACAGTTTCTTCCCCCAAGACTCCTGAACACTCAATGACTGGACTGACAGACACACACACCTTCATACATTTCACTACCTCAAGCCCATATCTGCACCAACCCGTTCTCACTCAAGGGCGTAGACACCAACGTTTTGTCACATCCCGCGGCGTTTCTGAGGAACAGAAAAGGTGACCTTCCGCGTTCTTATGGTCTGCGCCGGGTTATGGATGAATTCTAGTGGAATGATGGTCCGGCGGTAATAGATGTTCCAGCCATGTATTCCAGCCCTAAACCTAACCATAACCCTATTCCTAACCTTAACCAGCAGTTAAATGACATAAAATAGTGTTTTAAAAAGCGATTGTAAGAAAATGAACGAGCATGTGTAGATATGTCCAAATGGTTCTCATGTTTTCTGATTTTTTCCGAGGTCGTCATTTAGGAACGTGTTAGGTACCCGAAAGCGTAAAATGTTGACGATTTGTCACATAGCGGAAAATATTATGCTTAGGGAGTGAGAACGTGTTGCATACCCACACACGCACACCTTCAAACATCAACTTTCTTTTTGCAGAACTCACTGTCATGGTTGCACTTTTCTATTGCACTGTTGTGTCTGCACTGTCTTGTGTCTGTATCATTCTGTTCTGTCTGGTGTTGCACTGTTTTGTTTTGTTTTGTGCAATATTTGCACACTTGCACTTTATATAGTCCTTGGTTGATTATCTGTTATATTTTATATGTAGCACCGTGGTCTTGGAGGAATGTAGTCTCGCTTCACTGTGTACTATACCACTGCACATGGTTGGAATGAAAATAAGGCCACTTGACTTGAAAATTTTTTTCTTTTAAATCACAGCAATATGGCTGTATCTGCATGTTAGAATAATATCTGCTCTGAAAATATCTAATACTGACTTCAATTAGTAGTTACATCTTCACAGAGCCCGCAGTGCATATTTAGTAAATCTGGCTCTACATCTTTAATGATTTTATCTGAAAAACTATTTGAGAAATTATAGTTTGTGCTGTATTTATGTGATGAGAAACTTACTTTCTTTGTGTTTGAACCCTCAGATGATGAAGATGAAGTGTCAGAAGCTAAAAATAAAATATCAATTAAATTTCAGAAAAAACATGATTGATTTTGAATAAGTTTCTCTTAGCGATTTTAAAAATCTTTAAATGAAGCAAACAAATATGATTAAATTACAATAAAAGAAAGCAAATACCTGTAAAAGAACAAAACTTTCATATATAATAAAATACTTACTGTTTGCAGGTTTGAATCCTGAAAACAAGAAAATATTAGTTATTTATTTAGAACTTCTTAAAGGACATGATAATAAAAGTATAGAATAAAAATATTGATTAATTACTTGCCATTTAAACGATTAAATATTAAGACTTTATGAACTTTTCACTGACAAAACACTGTCCACGAAATATACTAAATTACTTGAATTTTAACACCAAAACACTGGGAAATTTAAGATAAATGGTCATCGTGAAGAGTGAAAATATCTTTTGATCCTTACCATCGTTTTCCTTCTTGAAGCACTTGAAGTAGACTAAAGCAGCAACTCCAAGTAAGACCATTGCTCCAACAACAACACCAACAACAGCACCAACAGGGAATCCTGAAGGACCTGAAACAAAAAATCAGCTTATCTTACTGTTGAACCAATGAATAATCAGACTCTTCATTAACACTACTTTAGTCATTTCATTAATTGAAGAAATCACAGAAATTAAACAAATTTCAGAGATATGAGTCTAATTTAGTGAATAATCGGTTTCAGGACTTTAACCGGGAAACTGTTGATTTTCAGCACTTTCATGATAAATACTAATCTACTGAAAACAGTTTTACAATACATTACATAAGTATTTTTTGAGACATAAGAAAGAAAATCAGAAATAAACACTTAAACACTTAACCCTTTATCAATCGCATGAGGGCTGCTGATTAGCTGAGGAAGAATAAAGTAGTCATGGTAAACCAATCACATGACCAATTTAAGATGTCACAGCAGGCCACATAAAACCAGAGTTATGATAAAAATATACGCAATGTTTACTGCAGGAGGAAACAGTAAAAACTGCGTTTTCTAGGGAAAGCACTCTCTGCTTGTGGGCAAGAACAAAAAGCAAAAACCCCACCCTTTCCTATTGATGGAAACACGTACCATGTCGACCAATCAAAAAATGATATGGGAACATGGCATTTGCTTGCTTAGGAATACGGGGAAGATTTAGGATTGACGGCAGCAAGAGAGAGAGGGAGAGAGAGATTTGTGTTTAATCTCCCACACGTTTTGATTTGTTTAAAATCAAAAGGGCCAATTATACCCTGGACCCCAGAGCGTTAAACATTTTTTTTTAAAGTAAAACAATAGTTACTTTTCTTAGTTACTAACTCAATTACTTTTTTGAAGAAGTAGTAACTATAACTAATTACTTTTTTCAAAGTACCTTGCCCAACACTGATTAATAATGGAATAATATGTCAAAGTAACTTCACTACAGTGGTCCCTCGCTATAATGCGGTTCACCTTTTGCAGGCTCGCTGTTTTGCTGAATTTTGTGTGACATTTTGCATGCTTTTTCCCCCCTTTTGTTTTTCCTTTTTTACAGCGCATTGTGTTCTGCGTCCTGATTGGCTGTAGACCATTGTCAGTTACTCTCCTGCCGTGTATCCTGTCCAGTACAGAATGCGTTTTACATTATTTAAATTTACAGAAATCTTCGATCGCTAGCAGTGTCACTCTGAAGTGCTGTACTGTATGTTTGTAAGTTTTCTCCAACAAACACAACAATGTCAAAGAGACGTTTTGCACTGTCAAAGGCACCTGTGGTAGCACCCAAAAGGCAGAGGAAGATGCTAACACAAAAAGTTGGACTAATGGATATGCTAAAGGAAGGTAGAAGTTACTGTATTTTTTGGACCATAAAGCTCACTGGACCATAAGGTGCATTAAGCAAAACAAAACGGTCAGATAAGTCAAGCTTTACTCAATTCATTCTTTTTGCTTCCTCTACTTCAATACCATTGATTCAATGTTGAATTCTCTGGCAGCTGCTCTATTCCTATGTTCTGGATGTGAAAACAGGGTTTGATATTTGGTTTCATTCTATAATACTGGACTTGTTTTTCTACCAAGGTTTGAACTTGAGAGTGCTTAAACAAGAGAGAAAAGTGTGAAAATGTTGATGCCTGTCTGAGAAAAGTGTATAAAGTGTGTAGTGACGGGTTTTACAGCCTTAAAAGATCTATAATAATTGTAAAACATTAAGTTGGCTACCTCGCGGATTTCACCTATCGTTTTTTTTTTAGAACTCCAATAAACGAGGGACCACTGTACACTAACAAACAGTTTGGGTCTCCTTGGCTTTCCTAACATATTATGCTGATGAGAAAAATTATGGAATAGGAAGAAATGCCAGAACAGAGATAAATGACATATCTTTAAAAAAAGTTTATTGTCATCTTATTGCTGTCTGACCTTCATTGGTCTTCAGCACTTCTCGGTCCAGTTTGGTGACAATGTCCTTGTTCACACCAGCGAGCTGAAACACACAGTCATACATCCTCCAGTCTTCAGCTGGAACAGAGCTAATATTCAGGTCAGCACTCATCTGAAAGGTCCCATCATTGTTGGTGAGGATCTCTCCTTTGTGCACACCATTATGAAACTCCACTCCATCTTTCCTCCAGACCAACTCAGCTTTGTTAGGGTAGAAACCTGTAGCGTGGCAGGTGACCAGCAAGGAAGAAGACTTCTGGAGGAGAGACACTGAAGGAAGAACTTAGAAATAAAGAAAAAGACATTATTTGTATTATTATTATTAATAATCATAATAATAATCATCATCATCATCATCATCATCATCATCATCATCATCATAAGAAGAAGAAGAACAATACTTTTTCTTCTTGGTGTAATGTGGTTTGATTGCAATAGTTGGATAAATTAATATAAATGTTATGTGAAGTATAATTCGGAAAATGGAAAGACAGTACATAGGAGACTAAAGACAAAAAAACATGCAAAGTGAGTGAAAGAAAAGAGAAAAGAGCTCTACTTAAGGTTCTCGAAAGACAAAAAAAAAAAAAAGAAACTGGAGAAGGAAAAATTGAAACCAGAAACCAGAAATGCTGATAAAATTGTGATAGTTATATGAGAGTGACAGAGAGCAAAAGGGAGACAAAGAAGTCAAGAGAGAAAAATAGGTCAATTTTAATATAATATAATAATGTTACAGTATATATGAAAGCAACATATAAGGACATGGCGTCTATTACAAAACAATCAGGTCATGTGATTGTTACCTGTTCTCATCAGAGAGCTCTTCCCATAGTTGAGATACTTCTTCAGCCAGTCAGGACAAATCGTGGTGTAATAATCCAGCTTGTATGCTGTGTTAGCTGTGTCACTGTCCCACTTGTGTTTAGTGATAACAGCCTGTTGTTTTGGAGCAGCCCATGACCCTGACTTTGTGTCTAATGTTATGAAGTCTTCGCCATCATAACCAAACTGCTCATATCCATTCAGCTCTTTTGTCTCGTCATCCACTTCACAGCCGTACATCCACTGGAAAATGTGAACACCTGAGAGAGAGAGGGACTGCAGTGAGCCAGTGTGAGCAGAATCTCATATTAACACAGAGACGCATTGATGAACAGACAGAGGATCTACTGTTGCTGCTGTTCATGGCTCAATGGAAGCCTTTTAAACCAGTTGTCACAAACATAGTGGATATTTTACAGAAAGACTACTAGGAAAAAGAGGAACAACTGTACTCTCTGAACCTTTCAGTGATTTTACAAAGTTGCCACACCTACAAGATTTTCAGAATCACAGAACAGTAAACACTGATTACTGAAAGACCTATGGCTGGTCTAAATACAGAAAAGCTCATTGACTTTGACTATTATTGCATTTAAGTATGTTTTTCTATCATAAGTCATTGTGTACTTATCATGTTTATTTAATTTGCTGAAATCCGGCTTTAGACTGAAACAATAATTCCTGCCATGAATTTGACTCTGGGCCACTTTGGTGTTTTTCAGCGCTGTGACTATGTCAAATTTTTCTTCTAAAAACATTAAAACATTCACATTGATGATATTATTGGATGTGCAGCACAGAGACCCGTGAGCGCTGCTGATGCTGTGATGAGAGCAGTCTATAGGCGCTTTCACATTGGATGTGACGCGCTGTGCTCACTGCTAACAGGAGCAAAGGACCCCAAGTTTGTGTCGCACTGGCCGCTGCAATCTGTTTGAACGCCATCTTTTGCGGCCGCTCTACGTGTATGAGACACACATGCTCCTTGTCATTTTAAAACATATATCTCTCTGACTTTATATCATCTACGGGAGTCTGTGTTGTATTATGTTCAAATATTCAATAAAAAATATGTATCGCTCATTCATAAAGAAGAAAGATTTATAACTATCCCAACTAGTGATGAATGTGTAGTTTCTACACACTTCTTTTCCCCCAAGGTCTGCAGAGCCGCTGAAAACGCTCTGGAAGTCCCTGTGTAAGCACGTAAACCTGTGACAAGTTCATTAAACTTGGACACACACACAGAATACTTCACTGTGCAGTTGAGCTTAGCACAGCTGTAGGCTTTGTTTCTCTTAGTTGCGTAAAGGTACATCACAGCATTTTCATGATTTAAGGGCGTTTTCTTAAATCATGCATGTGAGGTCAGTTTCATGATCATAAAATTGTTATGATCATTGATCAATGACCATGACTACCATTCACAGACAGTTAGGGAATGGCCTCACACCCCATTGTTAGTGAGTGTTGCTGGTGTCAATACATGAAGTAGACAAAGTTAGGCAATAACGTTGCCTCAGAGTGACCCTGGAATGAAGGTGGTGTCTGCACTCCTTCTTTGATTGGAGTTTAAATTGAGTGGAAGTGAAACCATGGGGAGGTCCTGCATGATTCAAGAAAACGTTCACAGCTGTCTGTGATGAGGAAGCCTGTCGATGAGAGGCTCACAGTCAGCTGTTAACGTTTTCTTGAATCATGCAGGACGTCGCTACAAATCTACAAACACAGTTTGAGCCTCACACTTATTTTATGTGGAACAACAAGGATATTTGTCCAAGAGGAAATCTGTTTTTCTGAATATTGGTTTGATAATATGATGATGTTGGTAAATCAGCTGTTCCACACAGACGCCGAGCTGCTCTCTGTGAAGAACTCCAGTTAAACATCATCTGCGGCTCCAGGAGATGATGTCACAGCGTATTTAAATATCAGCAACAGTTCAGACTCAACATCTGTCCTGTTCTCTCTGTGACACACTCCCACTGGGAAACAGGTTTTTTCTGGTGGCTCTAAAAATAAAAACAAATCTATTGGATCTTTATTCCAGAGAAACACGAGCACGTGACCAGATGCAGTTTGTGTTTGGAGCCGTTTGGTGGATGAAACCTGCAGCGACCTGATAAGCATCTGATTACCAACAAAGTTCAAGAAGTTTCTTTAAACTCGTTCATAGACTTGATGTGAAAACGAGCTCGAAGCTGGACTGAAAGCAGACGCTGACGTGAGCTGGAGTTTCTGGAAGAGTCGCCCAGAAGCTGTCGCACGTTTTGCTTTTTGCACTTTTGTTCAGAACTTTTGGTCGAATCTGTGAAGCTTCTGTTGCAGAAAATCTTCTAAAGGTTTTGATTTATTTTGGAAAAATGTTTTATTTGCTCTGAAAACTGAGCGCGAACAAACTAACAGCACCAGCAGAGATGTAATGGACCTCGTTGTTTTATGGGCAAAGTTTCACGTCCATCACAGCGAGGATACTGGGATCACAGCGAGGATACTGGGATCACAGCGAGGACACTGGGATCACAGCGAGGATACTGGGATCACAGCGAGTACACTGGGATCACAGCGAGTACACTGGGATCACAGCGAGGATACTGGGATCACAGCGAGTATACTGGGATCACAGCGAGGATACTGGGATCACAGCGAGGATACTGGGATCACAGCGAGGACACTGGGATCACAGTGAGGATACTGGGATCACAGCGAGTATACTGGGAGACGTCCCTCCTTTCTTGTGTTTGCTGTGAATTCAGGCCGAACGTTCGATCAGTTGAAGACTCGAAGGATCCTGAAGCTGTTCAAACTCTGCTGTTTGTGACAGATAAACAGATTCAACAGAATCTGTTTGATTGTTTCTTTCTCGGCGTTTCTTCATTTAAATAAATGTTTTTAGACGTTTAATAACTGACATCAAACATGTTTGTTTCCCTGTTTTGTGTTTATTCATTTTCAGAAATAATTTTGTTTTGCTCTAAAAAACAAGAAGCTGCTGTGGATCAGCTGCTCGGGGTCGTCCTGTGTGACCGCCTGTTATCAGCTGCTTCGCTGTGAGAGGGGCGTGTCGGAGGAGCGACCAATTGGCAGCGGGCGCTCTGACGACAGCTTAACGTCAGCGTCTGAAAGCGGACAGAGCGACGTTTGACACGTGGATCAAACCGCACGGTTTAAGACGAGCCGCTGATTTTAAGCTGAGCTCCACGTCCACGGCTGCTGCTCCACTGATGACCGTTCAAACCGCGCCTGCTGCTGATTGGCTGATAAGACGTGAGGTCGCAGCCAGGAATATATTCAGAGTCAGGAAGCAGACTTTGTTTCACTGACGTCGTCTTCGGCTCGTTGGTGACGAGAGTTTCGACTCGGGTTACGTCACAGCTGATGACGAGCGCGTCTGTGCTCGCTCTGCTCAGGTGAGCCACACAGGTGTCAGGCTCCTCCCCCTCTTATGTCCCCCTGTCTCTCTATCCCTGTCGCGCATGTCTGCGATCACTTCCTGTTGGAAGTTTCTAGAAATAAACTAAGAGTGTAAGTGGAGCCTTTGACGCCATGTTTGTTCACATTCACGCTCTCTCCTCTTTAACAGGAAGCTCCACGGACTCGACTCCCGGTGGCGCTCCGTCCTCGTGGCCTCGAGCCGCTGTGGTTCTGCTCGTGTTATAATAACAGTAACGATAATAATAAAAGTTTAACAGAAACAAGCAGCGCGGTTATTCTCGGCACAGCGTTTCGATCTCGCCGCGAGCGCAGGCCGTGAGAATCACGCCGATGCTCAAACTTCATTTTCCAGCTTTTATTAATAATAATTAATTAGTGCTTGCAGTGATCAGAGAGGTGGAGTGGAGGACGGGTGGAGGCTTAGAAACAACAGAAGAAAAGATGGATGTGCATCAACCAGAGCCTGTATAAGGATTTTAACCGTGTGACGTAATAAAACATCACACGGTTAAAATCCTCCAATGGCAGCTGTTTGATGACCTCATCAGCCTCTCACGCTGTGCGGCTCACACCGATCACGTGATCGATCCCTCGGAGAGCTCGTTTACGGCTCTGCAGCGAGGCGGGAGAAGTTATTTTATTCTGTGCATCAACATTTTACAGCTGCGCTTATTTTACTTTTAAATTCTATTTTTAAATTCTACTGTTACCATGAAGTTTGAGTGTTTTTCATGTTTTTTTCTGTTGCTGTCGTCTTATTGTGGAGTTTTTAGAGGCTCACACACTAAAATCTGTTTTTATTTTGGAAGTTTTTCACATCAGTTCTGTCAATAAAACATTTTGATTTGGGTTTAATTTGTTTAAAAAAGGTCATTTAAAAAAGATTGACGTGTGCAGTGGATGAAAATCTTATGGAACAGCTTATTTCCTTTTTCCTGTTTTAGAAATCGTGTCGCAAAGCTGCTGTAAAATGTTTCATAGTGACGGCGTCGTCTCAGTCAGCGGTGACGTCACACCAGATGGTGGGAAAAATAAAGCACGGGCGTGAGCGGACCGCTTCTTCTGCAGTGATGCTGATGGATGTGAGGATTCCCGCTCATGCTAAGCTACGGTAATAAACGCAGTTGTGGTCGTGGTGTGACGCGCGTGTAGTGACCTGTTACCTTGTAAACTGGGTGGGTGTGTTTGGGGAAAAGAAAGACTTCACTCCGAGATAACCGGGGCTTAAATTTGACCGTAATGTGTAAAATAGTGGCGATCGCAGCTCGTGCACATCTGTTCTGCAGCTGTCTGCAAAGCTCAGTTATCTAATTACACCTGCAGATGTTTCTTTGCTAACAGGCTGGGTGGGACGGTCTGCACGCCCAGGAGGAAGAATCAAAGCATCGGTGCTCAGCTCGTTGGTCTGACTCAAACTCTCTCTGCTCCTCTCAGTCCTCGTTTATAAAGAGCTCCCAGCATCACAGCTAACAGCTGGATGAGGGTGATCACAAAGAGACATGAAACTGTGAATTTTATGAGAGTGATTTAAAAATTTATGTTAAGGGTTTTTTTTTTATACTAGTCTTAAATTGCCACCTAAATAATCTGAAAACTTTCAGCCAGTTTATGGCAAATTTAAAGTATTTTAAGACCTTAATTTCATTGATTATAATTTCAGCCTGCAGGAACTGTTAAAGTGAACGTGTCTGTTAATAAAAACTTAAAGAAATGTGGGACCAAAAATATTCAACATAAACTGAAACTCAGATTTACTGTCATTTCAAAATGAGAGAAAATGAGTGAAATGAAGAGAAATGTGATTTTCCTGTCAGATTGTCTGTTG